TCCATTTTTCACAATTAAGACGGTTAGAGAATTTTATTCGTTCAAAATCGGAGCCACAAACTTAGTTAAACTTGATGTAGCCTTAATAGTGTCACATTATTGATGCTTTGTGTCAATGGGTACAACTATGTATGCATGTTTTTTTTTTCATTTTTTTGTATTACTGGTAAATTATCAAGCCAGGGATTTCGTTACCACAAATTACTTAAAACCTTTACTAAATTCTTCTACAGATATAAAGATTTGGTTTTGAAGTTTGGTCGTACCTGTAGAAAACTTATTTTAAACGGGATTGCACATCCTCATTTTTACGGCAATATTGTTTACCGTGTCCGGAAATTTAGAAAGATCCTGGTAAACTTATCGATCATTTAAATAAACTAATTCTAAAAGGTTACCAAATCAACAATATAATTAGATCATTAAATTTTGTTTTCATTGGTACTAATATTGATTTTGTTATCAGTAAAATAAAAGCAAACTAAATATTATTGTTATATACATATACACATTCATGGATCTACAATCTGTCGATAGCTGTATCTTGGCATTGCACAAGGTCATGTTTTTCTCTGACTGTTAATGACGTCTTTACACTAAATCCATTGGATGTTGGATGTTTATGGATTGATAATTTAGTCTTAGATGCCTGATTTTTTTTATTAGTTGTTGGTGGCTTTGAACTAGATGATAGTAACTGCGAGTACTCTCAGATCTGTACTTACTGTCTTTTTGTTGTTTGGATGTACAAGTACCCGGCCACGTCCACTTGTATTTGTAGTATTTGTATTTTTATCCATCTGACGAGTTAATTCCACTCCATGAAGATCAAAATAGTTCATCGATAGTTACTCGTTTTCTGACTACAATATTTTCCTTTCTCTTTTTTGTAATCAGCTTTCATCGGGCATTTCTTCTTCTGAATGGTATTTTAGTTGAAAACATTTTGTTTGTATAGTTTCAAAGAGTTTAAAAAAAACTTATTAATAAGATCAGACTCGTAGTTTCATCAAAACAAAGACTGAAAGATACAAGTCTAGTACAAAGTTAAAGAACACGGATAATAAAACATGCCAAACACGGCTACGGCAATCTAAGAAGAAAGGGATCAGTAGTATACCGCTGTTCAATAGTCATAAATCGATTTAACTGGAAAAAAAAAGCCGGGTCACAAATCAAAGCCGAGGGAACACATCAAATATAAGAGGATTCAACGGAACAACATAGACACTGAACTGCTACAAAAACAAACACCAACATACATAGACATGACAGAAACGGACTATTTGATAACAACTGCCATATTCCTGACTTTGTACAGGACATTTTAAGAAATAAAATGGTGGGTTGAACCTGGTTTCATGGCTAGCAAAATCTCCCGCTTATATGCCAATGTTAAAAATACCGCTAAAATGAAAACATTACGTGACAGGAATACATTACAACTAAACGAAATAACACTCAGGACAGAGACGTACATAAATGACTTGGGTAAAAAAAAAATATAAATAGAGAACTTACAGAAAATGACCATGTCACCGATAGTTCAAGTCAACACATACTAACTTCTGAGTTTTTTGGTACCTATGGGAACTAAACGTCCACCATTAAAATTTAATATAACTTGAAAATTAATACTTTTAGTGTAAGTTCTGGCGTCCCGCGTGGATCAATATTAGGCCCCTTTTTTTTCTTTGTATATATAAATGACATTGTATGCGACATAGACTGTAATATAAAACTATATGCTGATGATAATTACCTTTTCATAGTAGTTGAAGATGAATAATCAGCAGAGAGCAAACTTAATGTTGACATAGAGACTATCAACAATTGGTCAATCCAATGGCTAGTAAACTTCAATGCAAAAAACTCAACTGAAGCTACACGTATGACAATTTCTAAGAGATCAGTAAAACCCCATCATCCCCCTCTTTATATGAATGACAATATAATTTCGGAAGTAGAAAACCATAAACACTTGTTTTTGAAAAGAATGCATTTACAAACTATATATTTGAGTTTTATCCGACCTTTATTTGAATATGCAGATATTATTTGGGACAATATTCCAGTCTATCTAAGTGATAAGCTAGAAAATTTGCAAGTTGAATCGGCTAGGACAGTTACTGGTGGTACCAAGCTATCACCGAAAAACAAATTGTACGGCAAAACGGAGAGGAAGCTACTATCTGATTCAGAAAGACGCAGAAAACGTCAGGAAATGTTTCACAATAAAAACCCTGATTATTTATATCAGATTAAGTCCATCTTAGTTTAAACCGAAATGTTATCTAAATCAAACTTAATTAAAATACCAAATTATTATTTTTGAGGAGAAATGAAGAGACAAATACTTCATGTCAGACTTTGGATGGATTGCAGTAGTCTGAATGAGCATTTATTTAATAGAAATCTTGTAGAAAGTAAAAACTTTACTTGCGGCAAAATCAAGAACAATAAGCATTTTCTGTTTAAGTGTAATAATTACTCCCTTGTTCAAAAACGTACGATAGAAACAATTCCGTTCCAATACAATATAAAAACTCTCCTGTTTAACAGCATTATTCTTAATCATTAATCAAGAAGAAGATGTACTCGTGTTTAAACAAGTTCAACAGTTTGTAGAAGATTCACAGCGATTTGGCATATAGCGTCTTCTGTTATGGTAAGGGTTGGGATTTGGGTGACACTGTCTTGACAAAGTCCTGGAAACACACTACGCCACCGGAACATACATATAGGAAAGATCTGACAAAAAAAAAAGACCAAACAAAAATAGTAAGCAGTTATTTTCCTGTTTCTTTTGACAGGGAGACGGATAATATAAACATGATAAAGGAAACCTTGTTTCCGAATCCCTTTGTATATATATATATATATATATATATAGATTGCCTAACAATGTAATTTTAACACACTATTTAGTATGTAAATATAAGAATGTTTTTAATATTTACAAAATGATGAAAATAAACGCAATATTTCGCTAGACTAACTAGCTTTATCAAGCGTGCATCTATCCAGGTGAAATCGGATGTAGATGATAAGAAACTTTTGCAGCTCAATGTATATGTTGCACTTGAATTTAGCTGCCTTGAAAATAATACATAATATTATGTATTATTTTCAAGGCAGCTAAATTCAAGTGCAACATATACATTGAGCTGCAAAAGTTTCTTATCATCTACATCCGATTTCACCTGGATAGATGCACGCTTGATAAAGCTAGTTAGTCTAGCGAAATATTGCGTTTATTTTCATCATTTTGTAAATATTTTAAACATTCTTATATTTACATACTAAATAGTGTGTTAAAATTACATTGTTAGGCAATCTATAATTTTATTTGTGTAATTGAATTAATCTCTGTACTGATTAATCCACACTCCCATAGATTTGTATGTCATGTGCTGCTATTTATAGGCACTTATATATATATATATATATATATATATATATATATTACTGCGTTTATATGTATATGTCATGTACATGATTTTTTTAAATAAAATATTTTCAAAGTAAAATTTATAAGAAAAACAACGGAAGTCTTTAGCCAGGTAGTATCTTATAGCCTGAACGAAAGGAAGTAATTTTCAAGGCTATTATAGTGTACGGTAATACTACATGTAATATTGTGTTTGTGAATTCGGTCAACAAACCTTTGATATGTTGTGTCAAAATACATTTTGCTTTAGATTGTATACGTTTTCGTTATCTAGAAATTAGAACACTTTTAATACATATCTTCAGTTACAATGTTATCAGTATGGATAGCAGTGACGGTAGTTACAGATGGAATTTAAACAAGACATTAACATAATTAACAGGTTGCAATAAGCAAAGTGTTAGTTAACGTAAAGATGTTAACCATTTATACCTCAGTTTTGGCAGATTTCATGTTCAATTGATAAATCTGGAGTCGGATATTTCTGATGAATATGATATTTACTCTACATGCGATAGGTTCTCCCTATATGCTCGGTTTTTCTGTCTTTTAGAAGAGAAAAATGGAATTGAAATTGTTTAATCAGGTGGTTCTTTTATGACTATAAACAGAAACAGATGTTTTCTTCTTACTATCAAAATTTTCATCTCTATGGCATCTTGTAAAACTACTAATAAAATGCATGACATATAACATAGATATGTCAGTGTAGTGGTACATGCCCCTTATTATTTATGTTCAAATTCCTCATTGTTATATAAGTAGTATTGATGCTTTTCATAAAAAAAAAACGGAGATGCAGTACGATTGTTAATGACACAAGTATCCAACAAAGCATATTGAACGAGAATGTTTTTCAAATGAACATCTGATTAAATAGAAAACGTATTTAAGTGTTTGTAGTCCAAAAATCATTAATATATTATAATCACATATCTTATATAAAAATGTTCTTACAAGTTAGAGTTGTCAAAAGACTAGTCAAAGTGTCAAAAAGTTGTAGGATATTAACTTAAAGTCGAAATGAAAGTAATGGTAATGTGCTATTTTTTGTTTTGGTTTAATTAGCCAATCCATAAATAAAGACACGTAAGTGTTCTGAGGGGGCTTCAGGTTGAGACGTGGTAGCATATGCTTATATCTTTATTAAAGATTATACGTGAATATTTACACTATTCATACATAGCAATTATATTCAGATGACTTTTACCAGATTGGTCCCGTGTATGTCTCTCGTTTCCTGGTATGATAACATAGCATTATATATAACAATCAGCCATGCCCTCTCCCCCCATGCCCCTCCCCTTTCCTCATTTATTTTCGATGTTGACCGCATTTCAATACTTTTTTCAGCCGTATATAATAAATTTTCTTTTTCAAAATTATACCTTTTTTATATCAAGTTAAAGTTTTCATTTACTATACATAATTCAAATCATTCAAATACATATTCGACATGTAACCAGAGTCGAGAGATTTTGTATTATCATGTGTCAGTTTTACTCTACTTAACATTGATACAAAAAAAATCTTTTTTAGTATCCGTTCACAGGCAAATGTGTTTACCTGTGAAACAAGGTATATGACTTCAGTGTCAGACAATTTACACACACAATAAAATGGACTTACAAATTTGGGTATACGAATATTTGATATTAAAGTTCACCTTTAGTTTAGTATGTGAGTATTGATTTAAATGTACATTCAAAACATTTAGTAAAGTAGACTATTTAGCAATAGCTTTTCATTGTTAAGATTAAGAGAATTTTATAGCATAGATTGCATGTTTTTATAAATTCAAATCCAAAAATTTTGTAAACAACATTCTTATTTGTTTTCATTAACTTTTAAATGACCCTCTTCAAGCAAGAAATGTCGACCCTCCACATGCCTTAATATCGTCGATGCTTTAGATGTTAAATACTTGCTAGCCTTCATAACCAAATTACCGAGGGCAAGACGTGTCATGAATAGGCACCCGTTATCAGTCGTTGTGTGAAACCACTAGACGAAATATCACCAAAGAATTATTCCTGTTTGATGCTTAGCCACTATTAAGTTTGCATTGTACTCTTTAAACTACAATCATAGTCACTTTGGCTAGATATTGAACAGAGCGATCAGCAGGTAAACGTTTTGAAACTATTAATTTTCCTCTTGTATGTTTTTCTGTCATTATATGACAGTATTTGGACAATTATAGCGTTCCTATCTATTATCTTTAACGCTTTTGAAGACATATAAAATCGAAATAACTATAAATACACGATATACAGAAATTTAAGCATGAATTATCCGACCATTTTACTCCGATTTGAAGGTCTTTCCCTGAAGTGGCAGCTAGTTGCCCGTTCTAAAAACTATACTTATTGAAAAAAAAGACTATATGAACATGAAAAAAAAAAATCAGCAACCTAAGATTTTCAAAATGACCGAAGCAATCAATTAAATCTCTGTAGAAGTCATTATTGATATTTTGTGTCAATTGTTATGGTTTTTTTCTTCAAATATCTTGACAACATCTATAAATAGATAAAAACTTTCAACAGCACTCAAATGCTCATCAAATGAAAATATCAAATTAAGTCACATATGGCCATAATAAACTATGCTGAATTATTTTCACATTAGCGACATCATAACATATATGTTACAGCTAGGAAGTGCATAATTCAAAATTGAACAAAAAATTAAAAAAAATGTTTTCCCTAATTACATGATATAGGAAAAAAAATATAAATGGAGAAACCCAAAAACATGTTCAAATATTTGAAGAATTGGCATGCTTTATGACCACAAGAAACCTGAGAAATAATAGCATAATTAAGATAAGATCAACGTCGCCTTAATGAGTTAAACTTCTTTTGACTTAATGTTTCGAGATTTTTCAACGTAAAAAGTATGTTATAGTATCATGTCAGTACCGACGTATTCGCTTCTAAATTGATGATACCCTCGCAGACGTTCAATTTCGAAAAAGTGTTAAAAAATAGAAATAACACTTTAAGAAGATAGTGAGTTCTACATGTTCTAAGCGCCTTTCTTCGAGTAACTTTATCAGGGGTGCTTAGCTCAAACTATGAATACCATAGATGTATGCATATTTAAATAGCAAAATGACCTAAACTGACCTAAAAAGAATGAACAAATCACTATCAGAGATAATTAGTGATACGAACAATTCGTTTATTTGATTTATTTTTGATTTATTTGATCCATCATTATGAGACGATATTACGACATTTCCAACGGCTATTTGTTAGGTCATGGATGACTTTCAAAGTGTGAGACGATGCAGATTTCGTACATGGCAATGGGCATATGGGGATTTTCTCGCTGCGTTGAAGACCATTGGTGGCCTTCGGCTGTTGTCTGCTCTTTGGTCGGGTTGTTGTCCCTTTGACATATTCCCCATTTCCATTCTCAATTTTATATGTGTCTTTTTCCAATAATATATGAAACACACATATTTTTCACCTGAATAACTTATTTTTGTCCAAATTATTATATTCTAAAGCGCACAAAAAGTTTTTAAAATGTCTGATGTTAAATTTTGACGCGGGAACAGGATATATGACGTCTTACTGATGTGTACAAAAGACTAGATTATCATTTCGAGGATTTTTTTTATTTAACGTAATGAGTGGTTTGACAGTTAGGGAAATAAGTGTAACAACTCGCTACAGGATTGTTTATTATTATATTGAAATTCAATAATTGGAATTGGTATCAAGCGATATCCAATTTTCAGTCATTATGAAACCTATAAGTATTCTTCATAATAAAGTTTTACTAGCAAAAAGTATATAGACATATAGTTTGTTAGTATGTATAAAATGATATTGCATTTTTCTCATTACCCCAAAACAAAATAATGTCATTGAAATGGTATTAAGTTACCCTTTTTATATACATGTACAAGTGCTTGTAGATCATATTTTTCTATGCTGAATTGAATGAATGCGTTTCAGGTGCACAGAGCAAAATTTTGTTTGCAACACAAAACGCCTTCATTAAGGAGTTTGATCTTCAAACACGCAAAGTGACTGTTTTACTAGAACTTGCAGCTACAGTGTATTCCATTGATTACGATTACAAAACCAAACAAGTTTACTTTCCGAGATATTTTAACAACGATATAATGAGGTAAGTGTATTAATGAAACCAGCATAGACACTTATTAAAACGGGTTATTTAAAACATGCTTATTACAATAATGTTGTTTATCGAGCCCATAAATTTAAATATGACCCATGTTAAAGTGTTGGTTCATTGAATAAGCGTATTCATAAAAGGCCATACATTTAGAACTGTAGGACGAAAAATTATTTCTTTTCTCTTTATTTTCCCGTATGAAACTGACATCTCGACAATTTTTTATGTTTGCATTAGAGTTATTTAAAGTAAATTCCTTGGGGTAAATGTTTGTAGTATAAAATTATGTTTAATTATTTAGTGTACGACAGGTAAAAATATCTGTTGGCACCATGTTCAAATAAATCATGATTGCGTCCTTTAAATTTCATCTTTACTACTTGAATCGCTTGATAAACATGAACAATTTCCTTGTAAGCAGTAACTATTAATCATTAACAACATGACAGGAATCTTTAGCCCTAAAATATAAAGTTAGAAAAAATCTATTGGACCATTCGTGCGTAATCTGTCTCAAGACAATAAGAGAAGAAAGCCAAACAATCTCTTTGTCAGTTTCATATGAATGTTTGCAATATAATAGCTACCACATCGGTTTAACTGTGTACAATGCTACAACTAAACCGGTGGTTTCAACTGTTTTCAGATTTGGGTACCCTACAGGTTGCATAGTAGTACACAAAGTTGTCTCGACAAGCAATAGACCAGCTGGATTAGCTATTGATTCAACTCATAACCATATTTATTGGACTGAAAGTGTTGGTAGTATTGGAAGGATTGTCAGATGTAATTTAGACGGGTCAAATATTACAGTAATAGCACATAGTCTTGATTATCCGTTTGTCCTACGACTTGACGTTAAGAATAGGTATTCGATAATTGTTTTGTTTATTCAATGTTATGATTTCGAAGTCATAGTTTGAGCAAACATTAAACTATTTTAAAACATTATATTTGTAATAAAATTGTTTAATTGTTTTTTTTGGTATGTCATATGTATTACAATTGCAGCTTTTGCGTGCACTAAAACATTGTTTTTGAAAGTGATAGATTGCCTATTTAATGTACATCGAACTAATATATGATAAATAATGGGAAACAAGAGTTTTTTTTATCGTTTTTTATGTAACTAAATTTTGTTTTGAAAAAGGACATGCATTACACATAGCGGTTTAAAGACCCCATTTAGACAGTTAAGTCTGCCTCATATCTTGACTTACATCTAGATATTGACAATGAGGGTCGGTTGAAAACAAAACTTTACGACAAAAGAGATGATTTCAGCTTCCTAATTGTGAACTTCCCATTTCTATGTAGCAACATTCCAGCAGCGCCTGCATACGGAGTATATATATCTCCCAATTGATACGATATTCCCGGGCTTGTGTTTCCTATCATGATGTCCTTGATAGAGGATTGCTGCTCACAAGGAAGCTATTAAACCAAGAGTTCCAAATGGTTAAGTTGAAGTCATCGCTTCGAAAATTTTACGGACGCCATCACGAGTTGGTTGACCGTTATGGAATAACCGTTTCACAGATGATATCAGATATGTTCCTTATGTCGTAACTACAATACCCCCCCTTTTTCACGAATGTGACTTACCGAATTAGACTATTTACCGGATTTGTAATAACATAAGCAACACAACGGGTGCCACATGTGGAGCAGGATATGCTTACCCTTCCGGAGCACCTGAGATCAACCCCAGTTTTTGGTGGGGTTCGTGTTTCTTAGTGTTTGGTTTTTTATGTTGTGTCATCTGTACTATTATTTGTCTGTTTGTCTTTTCATTTTTTGGCCATGGCGTTGTCAGTTTGTTTTCGATCTATGAGTTTGACTGTCCCTCTGGTATCTTTCGTCCCTCTTTTAGAAATAAAGTAGTTGAAGCATTTTATATCATCAATTGTATATACTTACGAATTATGCAACTCTTAATAACATATTTCCAGATGACTAGCATAGACACGATATATTTGTGTTACAACATGGCAAACCTAGTCCAATACTATCCGTCTTACTGCAAAATTAAAACGGTTGGTAGTGTATGGTGAACTACATTTAGTGTAAACAATATTATCCTATTGTGAACATAATAACATAAACATCACATAAGACAATTCTATTAGAAGACAATGAAATTTCACGTTTACAAATTCCTCTCCCATAACTGAATTACATCTGATGACAACAAATCCTATCAAGAATAAAAACGTGAAGCCCGTGGATTAAATTGATATGTATATAAAGTTTTGAAAAGTTTAATTGTATTATGATGGTGCAAACCATTGTTAATTAAGTTCAATAATTCTCCCTACATTTACTCTATTTAATAATTTCATTAATACTTCGTTAATTTACTATACATGTGATTCATATTCTCCACAGATTCCAAAGCAAAATACATGAAACAGTAAAACATAGATGTATACGTTTAAATAAAAATGGCAACATAATCAATGCACATTATTGTTCAATGGACTTGACAATTTATAAGAAGGGACTAAAGATACCAAAGGTACAATAACAATATATTCGAGTCAAAGAAAAGCCGACATCCTGGCCAATACGTAAAAAAAAAAAAAAAAAAAAAACGCTGCACAATAAAACTAACGACTGAGAAATAGAACCCAAAACAAAACTGGTGATATCAGGTGCAACAGACAGATTTTTCCTTATTAGTGAAACCTTTCGTATTTTCCAGTGCAAGTAACATTCAAAAAGCTATAAAAATATAAAATGAAGATAGTAATTAGTTGACAAACAATCTGTTTATCTTTTAACGCTAATATTTCCGTTTACCCTGGCGGCTATAGTTTTTCTGCATACCATGTAAATATCTCGCCATATCAAAGAAGCGAATAAGGTTTTTTTTCGAAGCTACCATTTATTGTAAGTTGTCGAACTCTCACTTTGGGGATTCCATTTTTTCAAACATTAATGTTCAATAAAGAACTTATGTAGTCCTTCATATTTAAAGAAATACTTCTATAGGCATTCATATAATGTTAAATTAATGATTATCAACTTAAAATCTGAAATTTGAAATGTTTTGAAATCAACTGAAGCCTTTACTATGGATGGTGATATCTCTAGTATACTAAAGAAAACGGTGTTACCGATTCATTGCAAGAGCTAAAAATATTCATAGCTATTTTTGTAACATTGCAAGCTCGTTATAGCTTAACTAGTTATAGAAAAAAGTGAATATAGCAGAACTTATCGAAGATATTTAACCTTATAAAACTATTACAAATGATCCTCTATAATTGCTCAAATCTCTACGTTACCAATTTTCAAAACCCATCTATTCAAAACCATCTATGTCAGGTTTAGCTTTTAAAACTTAAAACAATTAATGTACCCGGTTAAGGTACTTTCAGAAACTTGTGTCATGCACAGCAATCAATATCATGCTTTTTGTGTTTTTCTTTTTCTACCGATCAACTAACAAGTGATCTTGTATTAAAAACTATCAGGTATAACAGACAAGATAACTACGTTTAAACTAACAAATCGTTGTTTTTTATCATTTGAATAAAGGTACCTTTAAGTTGAAATTGATTTGGTGTGATGTTAGTTTTTGTTAATCTTTTGATTTCTTGTTGTTTTGTATATACTGATTAATTTGGTTTTACGTACTAATGTTTTAAATGTTGATAAATGGATCACGAAATGGCATTAAAATAACATTTGTAAGTGTTTAACACCTTTAATGTTTAAATGTTACATATAGATTTTTCTTGCTCGTGGTTTTTATACCATATATTTGAGAGATATCCCTGCAGCTTGCCGATGTTCAAATTTCGTAAATTGACGAGGGAGAAACAAATCAATGTAACAAACACAAATGAGGATATCGTATGAACTCCAAAAGTAGCGAGACCGGGGGTATCGAGAGAGTTAGCTTTACCTGTTATGAATACACCACTTGCCATGCAAATTCACTCCGAGTAAAAAATATCACAATAAGGAAAAGGACACTATTTGTTAAATTACAGATCAGACGACTATAATGGTAAATGAAGAGATAAAAACACGTCGCTAGTAAGTTGATACACCGACACATCGTATCTGTCAACAAATCTGTGATGGTGACAGCAAAATTGATCCAGTGTCGACTTCCTTCGTTTTTCCTCAAAATTTTATGGGACAGTTTCTGTGTAAAGACACACATGTATAGTATGAACATAGTAATTAGTTATGGACATTCATGTCTAAATGTCTTTTAAGGGTATTACATGCTGTGTTTTCTTCTTTTGTACAACAGTTATTACATGTATTAAGAGAGTAATGTAAAAATACCACCAAATTGTTGTTAAGATAGTTTTTTTTCTCGAAAATGTTCGCTCTTATGCTCTTCTATAGGTAAAATATAATTGTGTTGACCTGTAGACCTATTTACATGTCACACCAAACTTTCAATACTGACGTATATGTTGTAAAAACACGTTGTGTTCAGTAGAGCGATTTCAGATGCTCGGCACTCTAGTAATCGACATGTATTTATATATTTCTTTTATATTTAGTTTATCCTTAACTATATTGTTGTTTATTCTGATATGGTGTGCTCAAATACAGAAATAATTATTAATAATCATGTCATATAACATCAGGTTTTTAAAATAAAATCTTACTACTTTTTTTTCTCAAAAGGGTTTATGTAAAAGGAAATATTACTGAAACTATTATTTCTGAAATAGCTTCCTTTATTTAGATACATTCATTTTGTCCACTCTATAAGATAGTCAGAAGATACAATGGGTCTATACTAAAAACATCAGTCAAAGGCCAAACAGAGTGTGAAAATATTATAAAACATAATTGAACAGTACTCTCCAATACCCAAGGAATATAATACCTTAGCTGTATTTGACAAAACCTTTTTGGAATTTTGATTTCTCAGTGCTCTTCACCCTCGAACTTTTTTTGGCCTTTTTAACGTTTTTGATTCGAGCGTTACTGGTGATTGTTTTTACAGACAAAATGCGCGTGTGGCTTTCAAAGTATAATCCAGGTTATCTATGACGAAGTTATTGTACATTATTTGTTTCTTTCAAATGTGTTGACAATATAGATTTGTATTTTGTAATAAACATTTAATTTGTGATTTTCAATTTTTCAGTTGGATGTTTGTCGTGGAACGCTTTTTGAAAATATCTAAATCAAGACTTGATTTAACTGAACAACAATTGCTTGAAAATATACACTCTGATGTTACCTGTATGGATATAGGTACGTGACATAGAATAGGAATGATATGATTGCAATCTGTTGTTACAAATCAAGTAATCTGAAAAATCGAAATTTAATACGTGATCACGAACTACGAAAAATATGTGATAAATGAAAAGTCTCAGAGTAGTTAACGCACAAATTTTTGAAAATTTGTTATTTCATTTTATAGTTATATTTTTAAGAATTAATACATGGGCTTCTGCACTTTTGTGACCAAAATGTAATCTGTTTACAAAATATTTCAGACATGGAAAACGAAAGACTGTATTGGATTGTAGATAACACTGGTAACCTGAATTCAGCGATGGTTAATGGATCTGATTTTAAAACTATCCTTAATACAAACTGCAAATCGACAATATGCAATAACAAAGCTATTGATATTTTTGGTACCCATATATACTTTTCCAATCACAATCAACTAGCAATGAGTAATACATCAAAAGGACTCGATTTCACTGTCCTGTATAACGACACCAACCGTATCGACAGTATATAGTATAACATGTAAGAAAATATTTAAGGTATCAAAGTTTTTTTATGTAACGGAATGTTTATAATAAACTTTTTTGCACAAACACAGCATAAACTAAGCAAATGAACAAATAAAAACTCAAATAAGATGACTGAATGAATGATAGAAAAAAAACCCAAACATAAACAAAAATATATATGGTACTGTGATTTTTTTGCAGGTATTGTTTGTATAAAAATCTTAACAGCACGATTAAACTCAAACCACGTTTAGAAGCATTAAATCAAAGAAACCTAGCCTATACTTTCATAAAAAAAAAAACAAAAAAAACAAAAAAAAAAAACAGAAGCAGCAATAAAAGTTACAGTTCAATACAAAATTGACGAAAAGAAAATTTTAAAATGCCACAGTTTAATGTACAACTTTTGAATCCCTGTTGACTGTTGACGGGTTATATCACATTTTTGGATGTAATTCTCGAGTATCGGTACCGAAATAAAGTAATTAAAAACACACTACAAGAATAGAATGTTAACAATTAAATTAATATTTGTTCCTGATAACATCACGACATGAAAATATTTTAGTATAAGACAAGTTTGAAAATCAAATTACTTGATTTTAATTTCTTAACTCTTTAATTTTTATGTACATTATCAATATATTTATAGTCACCTTACATTTAGTTTATCTCAGCGCTTTTGCTTTTTGTTTGGCTCATGAAGTCAATTATTGAAAATAATGGTCTGCTTATTAATATTGCTTTATTAAGATGTAATCATTAGTTGATATTATTGTCTTTATAAGTTTTACCATTATTTGTAAATGTCTAGTTAATGTGTGGTTGCTTGCTTTTGCATAAAATGTATTAATGCATTTAGCTGCTTTGTACCAACTGTTTGTTTGTTACTTCTGCAGCCGTATGTAAATATAAATTTGATTGGTCTGTTCTGTTGTAAAGAAATTTTGGTAATCCATGTTCTTATTTTATGTATTATGACCTGTAAATAAAGCTTGTGTAAAACTTTTACTAAATATTTCTTTTTTGTGAAAAAAAATTCATTATGTGTCAATCTGATACATTTCAAAATAGCTAATTACAAAGCAATCAATAGTCAATAATCCAGTTAAAAAGCATTTTTTTTTTTTAATTTTAATTCCCCATATCTATATTTTTATGATGTATGAAATGGAGAACGAATAAAGGTGAGTTTTTCCTAGAATTTTGAATTTCATTTTATTATAAACCCTGCAGTAAAATTTTACGTTGAATGTCATCGAATTTTTCTTTTTTTTATTAATTGTTTTACTGTTATGCAATGTGAATCGATAAGCTAAATGCAAAATGGGAAATTAAATTATTTGTTTTAATGTTTAAGGAAGCAATAAATCATTTTTAATACAACTTCATAGACTAATTGTAACATTTTCGTTTTTAGTATATCAAAACTACACTTAAATTTGATAAGCAACAACAGCAAAACGTGGGAGCAGACATTCTAAGTTGTAACTACATGTATTTGTGTCGAATTGTTTGTTAAATGATGTGACATATGTAAAATCTTTACTATATCAAAAAAGATGAAAACGTAATACCTAGTCACTCTGATGCAATACATATATACAGTCCGCCAAAAGTTAAGCACCACCTAAATATAAATGGCAATATTTTTTTAACTATTCCGAAACAAATATTTATGTTTGGTGTTATGAATTGCCTATAACATACACTAAGAAAGTTCATTACGACCAAAAAAAATAAACTCCGACAAGCAATTTTTTATTAAAGGTCATTTGCACTTTTTCGAATACACTGTTTCGATGCCTTTAAATTATCTTCCTACTGTCCCGCGTACAGGTGAAATTTGACCTTCACCAAGTCACTGTGAAATATGGCAAGGGGTAAGTTATATGTGACTGAACCTTGACAAGCAATTGACATGTTGAATGCCGGTAGGCGCACTAGTTGCATGGGTAACCATTTCAATGTTAAACACACCGTCATTGTCAGATTTTTACAACGTCATGTTGACATAGGAACTGTAAATTATAGACCAAGGTCCGGAAGACCCCGTTTAACAACCAATCATGATGACAGACTCCTTATTGGTTGTGCTAAAGCCAACCCATTTACTCCTGCCCCACAACTTAGACACCACTGGCGTCAATGTGGTCATGTTAGTGTTCGAACATTGGTCCGTCGACTTCATAGAGGCTACCTAAGAGCTCGTCGTGTTATCAAGAGACCTGCCCTAACAGCCAGGCACCGTAAAATCAGGTTTCAAAGGGCTAATGACCATCGACGCTGGAACATGAGAAGCTGGCAAAATGTTCATTGGTCAAATGAGAGTCAGTTTCTGTTACGACCAATAGACGACAGAATACGAGTTTGTCGTGGAAATAAAACTGCTAATGACCAAAACAACATGTGCCCAACGACTGCATACGTTGCTGGTGGTGTTACAGTATGGGGTTTATTCTCATACTGTTGTAAGGTGGGTAGGCATATTCTGCAGGGTAACATGAACGGACAGACATACAGGGATTTGGTGCTTTGAAACATTGTAGTCCCTCATTTTGATAATCCTTTACTTGCTTCAAGATCCTTGTGCATGTACGACAATGCTAGACCACACAGGGCAAGGGTTGTAACCGAGTACAAAGAGTACAAAGAGCAAGAAACCATTGACACTATCTTTTGGCCTTCCATGTCTTCAGACATGAACCCTATCGAACATGTCTGGGATGCCTATGGCAGAAATCTCAATCGCAGAGATCCACCTTTGCAAAATCTTAGCCATTTAAGAAGCGCAATTGTTGCTGAATGGAATAAATTTGCTCAACTAAAGTTCAGAAGGCTTGTACAGAGTATGAGACTCCGTGTTATGGAACTGTACCGGAAGAGAGGGTGTTACACATCCTATTGACTCAAATATTGACATTAAATTTGTCGAACATACCAAAGATTATTTGTAGAGACTTTTAATGATATTGGGTGATTAATTGTTGTAAAAAAATAAAATCACAGTGAAACTTAAATTCCGTTTCTGTTTTGTGTAATTTTCACTGTTTCTATGAACACAAATTTCAAATGCATAGAACCTGCATACGTGAACAAACTTAAGTCTACGGTTTGTTTATGGTATATGTTAACAAAATTGCTACATGAATATTTTCGCTTTTTCGAGGATTAACTGATTTTTTTAAATGAAAAAAATTTCGGTGCAACAAAAATAGGTGGTGCTTAACTTTTGGCAGACTGTATATATAGACGAAGCGGAATGGAAAACAATAACTATTCTTTTTTAGTATTGTTCCTTAGAAAATAGAACAATATACCTTAGAACGGGAAAAAAATATTAAATATATGGTACATTGTTTCATTCAAGTGAAGTGCTAAACTCTTAAACGTGCATCAAGAACAATGTCATGTGTTAATTTAAAAAAATTACATCTTCTCCTTTCTTATTTATAATAGGATTTTTGTTATGTCATCGCTTATCCTCATAACCATGCGAAGATATCATAAAACAAGTTTTTAAAATGATATAGTCTCATAATAAAAAAGTTGGGTTCACGCTTTTTGGATGTGCGTTAAATAAAGAGGCGAAAGATAACAAAGGACATTCAAACTCAAAAGTCGAAAGTAAACAGAATAAACAGACAACGTCAAGGCAAAAACAAAAGATAAAGACCGAAAGATAATTAACAGTACACTTAACACAACATAGAAAACTAAAGACTGAGCAACACGAAGCCCACAAAAATCCAGGTTTGATATCACGTGCTCCAGAAGAGAGCAATTTATACATTTAATAGATATAGGAAGATGTGGTATGAGTGCCAATGAGACAACTCTCCATCCAAGTTACAATTTATAAAAGTAAACCATTATAGGTCAAGGTACGGCCTTTAACACGGAGCATTGGCTCACACCGAACAGCAAGCTATAAAGGGCCCCAAAAAATTACTAGTGTAAAACCATTCAAACGGAAAAACCAACGGTCTAATCTATGCATTTATATTAGTATAACTATGTTGATTACAGAAATTAAAATCAAACAGTAACTTCTCTCTCAAAAAAGGAAGAATCTAAGCTTGACGCATCATGTGAGTATAACTCTATATCACACATAGAGATAGTTAAAAAAAATTAAACATTGTTAAAATATGGCACAGAGCCTTATATCGTGATCAGTCTAGTTCAACTCTTATTGTAATAACTTCTACAATTGAATAAATCACGGAGAATAACTATACTATCTAACTCAAAACTAGTTAAGTGGCACTTTTGGCCTTGTAATTATTTGTTGCACTCTCATCAGAACACACCACGAAAGGTTTTCGAAAACAATAGCTTAAAGCAAATACGAAGTACAACAACTTCACATATAATTATATTTGGGTTTTTTTTCACACAGTGTGTGGCATAGAAATGATTAAAACGAGAGGCGAAAGATACCAAAATGTGTTCAAACTCATAAGTCTTTGATGACTTATGATTACTAATCAATCGGTCTAGTTTAGTCCCATGAACACACAAGAATTACGGAATGAACTGGTACTAGCATTACACAGATAAAATGTCTTGACAACTGAAACAACATAAATAATGATTATATGTTTTGAGTCAAATAGGTTTATGTTTGAATGTTATAATAACAAAGGGAACAGACCACAGTTAGATCCATGACTTATTGTACAAAAGCATAGCTACATATAACAAACAATGTATGTATATATAACATGACAACATCTGTGATAGATGACAAGCATGTGTATATATTATACAACCTCCATAATCTTATTCATGGTGATCACTTTCGAGTAAATCGTTATCATTCGTTGGTATATTTTCAACCGGGGTTACATAATTTCAATAACTGTTAGGCATCCATATTTCCGGGTGCCTAATTTGTACATCGATTGACGATGAACAAAGGTGTACGTAAGTATAAATGGATTCGTTCGTAACTTATAGAGACGATCGGCAACAATACACTTACGGAAGAACCGTAGTCGTAAAAAACATACCTGAACTTGAACTATTCGATTTTAGAATATTTGGTAACATGCAGTCATATGTTTTAGCATTGTGACACAGTAGTTCTCGGACAACAAGTTACAGAAACTGCATGGCTTTCATTCGATCAATGGGGTGATGGAACAAGATTTTCTATTTAACATTAAAGGTTTTGATATATGAAAATGCAGAACATGTGGTGTTGTGAGCATTGACGTAATGTAACTTAGATTGACAGAAAGGACAGAAAAATCCAAGTCAATGAATTTATGATGAATATTTTGTTTACTACAAATGAATCTGTTTGAATATTACTTGTATAAACCACGACCAGTCCACTAACAACATGTTGTTACCAAGACTAACTGTTCATTTTAGGGATGATAATGTTGTGTACATCTAATACAAATTAATGATTTACTGCAAAATGTGTTTTGTCTCCTGGTACAAGTTCACCTGATACTAAATCGATAAATGTACATGAACCCAAAACCCGTTCAATCTTTTGCATTTGCGCTAGTTCTAATGTTTTCAGAAGTAGATCCTAATTAGAGAAACAACTTCGGAAGAAAACAAAGCTGTCATGAAAGTAAAAGCATAAAAAAACAGATTCGGTTTTCGATGTCATAAAAGAAAATATTGTATGTGATATGTCCAAAAACGCCACAATACACATAATTTTTCAAAATAAGATGTTAGTTATATTTCCCCCTGAATGGTATGGTTCATTACACAAGACTAAATTAATGTACATTACTTGTACATGGTCAGCTTTCATGAGAGTTGATTCCAGACGTTATGCGTTCTAAAGCAATAAACAACAACACACTAAGGAGAGTCTCTTCATGATATTACAAATATGCCAAGGTATTTACATTATTAGTATTCACAAATATATTGTACACGTTAAATGAATGGTAATTCACCAATAGGAATTAAACAATTCCAATTTTTAATCGAAGTGTAGTTAAATGAACTGTTTGAAAAACTCACATATTTTTACAAACTAAAAATGATTAAAACATGTAAAATTTAACTTTAAATTATAACTGATATACGTGCTGAAAGCATATTTTCCTGTAGAAGATATATCGCATACTCAGATCATTGTAATTAAATAAAGGCAACAGTAGTATACCGCTGTTTAAAAGTCATAAATCGATTAAGAGAAAACAAGTCCGGGTTACAAACTTATATTATCGTGATATGTATAACTTTGTCTGTCTTTTTGTTGTTTTTTTGGGGGGTTTTGTTCCATGGGATTATCAGTTTTTTTTCCGATTAATTCGTTTGAATGTCATTTTGTATCTTCTCCTCTTGTTTATAAAGTATTTGTTTTTGTGTTATATTTTGTTTACTGTACTGTTGATCAATTATGTTCTGTACGTTAGTTGTGTTAGTTTTTGTAAAGAAACTATACTGTTCGTTGATAATAACTTCAATAGGCATATAATGAAGATCTGATGATATGCTGATATACAACATACCATCTTAAGGTAATACACCGTTCATGACAAATATAGTAAGCAAATGTAAAATATAAATTCAGAAAAAAACTGCATGCATAATGTTGATTTCATGTGATCCTAACATAGAACACTGATGATGGCATCTAGCTTGTTTAGGAATGTGTATGGATATCCTTTTAATAACGGGAATGTACATATTAAGTTATATGATACTGTGTTGATGTAAGGAAATATTTTATTGAAACTTCATATTTTTCAGACGTAGAATGAAGACTTCCGCGCAATATGCGTTGATGTGTATTTTAAAACAATATGTAACATCATATTTCTCATTAGGACGATTTACCGAACAATTATATATTCTTAAGATAGAATAGACTAGTCATATGAGCCTTTCACGTGTTTTAGAAATGATATTATGCAACTGCTAGTGGAGGTTGCCTCTCCAAGGGCACCACTAGCACTACTGTGTTGATATGAATTATCATTGTTATGGTCATAACTATAAATTATCTGTTAACAAAACATTAAATTATTCGAAATACTAAGGATTTTGTACTCCAGGGATAGAATACCTAAGCTGTATTTGGCAAAACCTTTCGGATGGTTAGGTCCTCAATCTTCAACTTCATACTATGTTTGGTTTGTTTGATGAACCAGAGTTATGTCAAAGAACGTCTCGTCCTTTTTTCTAAAAAAGTTCATTGGAAGGTACCAAGACCTTGTCAATAAATATTCCGTATCAACTTCAGAAATTATACATGATGGTCTTGAAGTATCGATTCTAGACACTGACGTTGTTTATCATCTTAATTACGTGTTATAGTGTTCTTTTTATTTGTCTTTGTATATTTTTAACCTTTACTGTTTCGTCCATTTTTGGTAAAATACCTTTCGCGTGGCTCGGTATTTATACATCCCGCCGAGGTGTTATTGTGCTATGGTCATTTTTGTATTCTAGTATTTCAGTTTTGCTCATATACGTTGTCTAAAGAGTGTCCTTATGTCATTTTTGTTGTTCGTTGTTGACGTAGTTAATTGTTTTATAGTGATTAAGATTATAACAGAATGTCGACTGCTGTACATTTTTACATATTATGTATATTTGTTTTACTCACACATTGTTGTCAATATAATAGAATGCTATGCGACTGTCATAAATGAGAGAGGTTTAGCTAGCTATAAAACCAGGTTTAAATCCACCATTTTTTACATAAGGAAATCCCTGTACCAAGTCAGGAATATGGCAGTTGTTTTAATTCGTTTGATGTGTTTCAGCTTTTGATTTTGCCATTTGATAAAGGACTTTCTGTTTTGAATTTTCCTTAGAGTTCGGTATTCTTCTTATTTTACTTTTTACTTTCTTTCATTCGAGCGTCACTAATGAGTCTTTTGAAGACAAAAAATGTGTATTGTATACACACTGTTAATCCTTGTATCTATGATGAGTTAAAGCAAGTAACTTCGCTAGCAAGATGACCAAACCTGTGGTTATTTAAATTGACAACGGTCAAGGTGTGGGATCACTGCATACGAGAAGTGATAGTCTGTAAAGTTTGGAAACTGAGACAACACCGATCAGCAATTTGTAGTTTAGTTATAAACATACGTAAAGACATTACTTTTCAAGAGTAGGTTCATTCTTGTATCTTCTTATTTTTAAACAGTCTGATATTTAAATAGTTATTCCAATTTCATTGTGTTGTTGGGTGTCTGTAAATGCATTTGGTGTTGAAGTTATGGACATGTCTCGGCACGATATGTTCCTTCAATACTAATAGTTTAAATATGCTGGCAACCAAATATCACTGTAAAACAATGAATTAATGTTGAACAGACTCTAAACATGATACACAATAGTTTTTTTTTTTCTCAACTTTTCGTGAAACAGAGATTACATATGTAAACACTCAATGTGAAATTAATACATATAGGTCAACGTACTTTGTGAGATTCTTTGCGGAATATGAAACTGATAGATGAAATAGTTACAACGATTTATTGTAATTGTTATAATAAAATGAGATTTTTAAGATACCCGAGATATTTAGTTATATGTCAATGTTCAGTATCGTTTGACTTTACCTGAAATTCAAAGGATAAAACATCTGAACTAACAAATGCAAATAAATATGGACGTAATATTTTGGATTGACTTATATTCAGCCTTTTATTTGATTTATTCTTTAGCATGTGAGTATTGAAAATTATATGGATTTACTATATCTATATTAGTTACTTTGACGTATGATTAAAAACTTGCACATGCAACTTGGCGAAGTATCATGGCCTTTTCAAGTAAAACTAATGATAAAAAAGATATATCAGATCTCCTGGCCAGTTCAGCGATATTGTATCGAAAATACCTTGTTTATGAATGTAGTATACTTGGTTACACAAAAAAATATATGAGCAGAACTTTTTAGTGTAAAAAAAACAAGTATCATATTTCATCCAATTAAATGAATGTACTACCTCTTTTGTAAAATCAGGTGTTAACGTTGATTCGGGTCAGTGGTTTTTTTTTCTAACCTTTATAAAAAAGATTTTTTTTTTTTGAATAAGTTCATCATCTCAAATATCATACTTGGTTTGTTAGCAGCGTAGCTTTCATATTAAATGTTATATAGATCATTATTTTGATGTGAATGATGCCTACATATAATGTGTTGACGGTTTACAACAATGTACAATCTTCTATGTTGACATTGGGAATCCTGCTAGTTCTGTAAAAATTACACACTGGTCATAGTTACGGGGTATATAAAACCAATGCTGTTCTAAACCACAACTTAGAATTCGTGTTGTTCAGATTAAACCTCAAAGCAAACATCTGCATATGACCTGCTTCAAATCCGGTTATACACTTTATGGTTAAGAAAAATTTTACAAATATGTATTTAACTACATGGGGAAATGTAATTGTCTTCGAATGTACTTAGTTTGCATTTGGCCTGAATAGATAAGTAATTTAAAGACTTTTATGTGACCTCTATGACACCATTTATACAACGTTTTTAAGCAGTGTATATCTAAATATGGTAACTGAAATCGATATGATTGATAAGTTCGATATGTTCCAGGTGCGCGACAGAAAATATTGTTTTCAACTGAGAAACATTCCATTGAGGAGTTTGATGTAAGGACAGGAGACGTGAATGTACTGATCGAGCTCGGATACACAGTGTATGCGATGGATTACGATTACAAAAATAAATATCTTTACTTTCCTAGATATTTTGACAACTTGATAATGCGGTATGTTTATTTACAAACAGTATGACATAAAACCATTCTGTGTTTTGAATACAATAATCTTTAGATCCCTTGAACTAATCACACCTCCTACGATTCTGTTATTCTTTTTTTATCCGTAGATGTGTTAAACAATTTATTTAACGTACTAAGGATAAGTATATGAAGAAAAAAAAAACATAATACAAATAGCTCACACACCATAGATCATCATAAGTGATGTCGTCATGTTCATATCAATACAGAATTCTGGTTAGGTCCAATACAGAATAAATACAGGATATTGACACGATTGTTTTCCAATTGTTTAATGTTATATACCTTACAACACTTTAGAAGTTATTTGATATTTGATATATAATGTTTTTTCATCATATTGTGTAGCTTAAAATAACACGAAAACGAATGATTATGTACCTTTTGTTGTTACGTTTTGAAACGAAAAGAACTGTAACTTGATCTGACTGATGCATTTCCGTCGATCAGTCACCATCACACAAACGACATTGAAGAATGAAAATGACCAATTATCAAATTACTGTATATTTCTTAGATAGAAGGTATCCCATAAACATAGACAGAAGAAATCAGAAATAAAATCAATATAGACAAACAAAATCGTGGTTTTGAAACGATACGCTCAAATATTGTTTTCTTAACCGGCTTCAAGGTAAATTTCTGTAATCATAGAAGAAGAATCAACAAAAAAACGTTATGCGCAAAATGTTTCAGTACAAGCACAGGTTTTGATTTTTGATCAAATATATGAGCCCTCGGGTTGATATTACTAATCTAGAATCTATACCAGGTTCAAAACAGAAACAAACAGATAACACTATTATAAGTATTAGGGATTAGTCCTAAACTCTTTTTAGAATTGAAAGAACAATTTGTTATAGAGCTGTTCTAAACAGTTCAAGAACCGTTTCACCCTTAAACTGTTCTAGGACAGAGCTGCCAGAAACAGTTTAATGGTCAAACTGTCAGAATTGTTGTTCGATGTGAAGCTTTCAGTCTCATTTTTAATGTAGAACTGACAAAAAATGTCAGAAGATAGAGTTGCCAGGATCAGTTGTAGGTTATAACTGTACAAATCTGTACTAGAGTAGACCTGTAAGAATCTATTCTAGGGAAGACCTGTCACAATCTGTTCTAGGGTAGACCTGTTAAAATCTTTACTAGGATAGACCTTCCAGAATCTGTTCTAGGGTAGACCTGTCAAAACCTGTACTAGGGTAGACCTGTCATTATCTGTTCTTAGGTAGAATTGACAGAATCTGTTCGTAGGTAGAACTGTCAGAATCTGTTCTTAAGTAGAACAGTTATAAATAACGTAAATTAGAGCAGTTTTTAGATTGTGGTCTAGAGTATGGACAGCTAGCTAAATATCCCCCTAAAGTCATTTGAGATACATTTAGGCAGGATTTAATAATTCCAAGTCCCCCAACATAAAAAATATGAAACGCGTTGTCTAAAACTTTTTAATTCAAAGATCTCCCCTGATCTTTTCTATGATCAGTTCTAGAGAAGATCTATAAGAATTAGTTCCAGGATAGAACTGTCCTAAACTGTTCCAGGGAAGACTTGTTTGTGTCA